TGTGTTATATCTGATTTAGCATGGCTGTTCATACCCGGTTAAGCTTGCACCTTCATTTGTTCTATATTTTTTAGCCTTATTCACTTGTTAGTGAACACACACATATACATAAAGATATGAGCTTGGTACATAATTATTCAAATTAATGACATTGCGCTATATGAAACTGCCCCCCATATGCTACAAATATGGATTTCTGCTGAATCATTTATTACCTGCATCCCATGTATTACAGCACATGCTTTTAGTTTACCCTTACAATAGTCTTGTATTTTGTTATATCCTTGCCATCATTTCTTAAAAATTTGCATTAAGATGCTTAACAGTATTCATAGAAAATAGAGCAACTCACTTTTTTTTTTCAAAAATGGATACAGATTTTGAAGTAATTGTCTGTGAAAGGAGACTTTGTCATATACTATTTTTGTTGTTTTCATAAAGTTGTTCTTGCTGGAGGAAGTTAGGGAAAGAAAATATGATGGCTATGCTAGAACTATCCAGAAGGCATTCAGAAAATACAATGCCAGGAAATTCTATGTCAAACTCCGAGAACAGGGTAAAGTTATTTCTTGTTTAAAAGTCTTATAATCTGTCATTATTTTTTTCATTTAATGTTTGATTGTACCCAACTATATAAAATTAAGAAAATTGAGAAGTGCTTTCAGAGATTTATTTTAATGAGTATCAAGAACAGTGGGACAGGGAGGGGTGTGCTGTTCTCTTCATGCCTGCATGCACGTGTATGTAAGTCAAGTCAAGCAACATGGGCATCCTATCTATAATCTTACATCTTCATAAAATCTTCAGTGCATAGGGTTTGCTTGTTTTTGTTCATGTATTCATCCCGTTTTCCCCCTCTATTTTAGCCTCAGATCTGTTGCTTAATAAAAAAGAGAGGAGACAATACAGTCTCAATCGCAACTTTGTGGGGGATTACATAGGGCTGGATGACAACCCGGCCCTCAGAGCTCTGGTTGGCAAGAGAGAAAGGATAGAGTTTGCCAATACTGTGACCAAATATGATAGGAGGTTCAAGGTAAATATTGTATGAAATATACTGGAAGGTGAATTTAATTAATTTTCTAGTTATTATTATTATTATTTATTTATTTTTTTTGCTAAAAATATTCATTTATTCTTCTTGGAATTTTAGACAGCCAAAAGAGATTTGATAGTAACATCAAAAGGAGTTTACCTAGTAGGCAGAGAAATGGTGAGTTCAGTCAGATATAAGAAAGCACCCATTTGACAAAATGACATTTCAACTTTTAAATCTATAAATTTATCCTAGCCAAGTTGGATATGCTTACTTTTTGTAAACTATAACTTTCTTTCTCAATGACAAAAAATCCATAAGAATATCAATATTGTCTCCTTATAATTGCAAAGAAAAAGTGATTTTGTCATTATTTCCTGTTAGTTAAATAATATTTCTAGATAATTTCTTTTCAAATTAATTTTTTTTAACCAGGTCAAGAAAGGGCCAGAGAAGGGCCAGCTGAAAGAGGTGGTCAAGCGGCCATTGGAAATGGAAATGATAACTGGAGTGGCACTGAGGTATTGTATCCCTTTTTTTTTTGTCCATTTGACTTGAATTAATGTGTTGCTCAGTGGGAAAAATATGAAGTTAAATAACAAACTGACTGTTTTCCTGTTGTTCTCTTTAAATAGTAGAAAATGTGATTTTAACACTTGTAGCAATGCATTGTAAAGAAAGTAAAATAATTTTACAGTAGATTTTTATGCTTAATTTTAAAATTTTATGATAAATTTTATATTGCAACTTTATTTAAGAACTTGACTTTATGTCTAGCCTTTTACCTTAGACATTTAACAGAGCTCATGCTTAACATTATATTTTTATAAATTGGGGATAAAGTTGGTAGAACAGGAATATTATTATTATTATTTTTTTTTTTATTATTTTTTTTTTTTGTCATAAGATTCCATTAATTTTGATGCTCTAGTTCAGTCTGATTATGATGTCAGTACTAATTACTGAAAAAGTGAAATGCGACATGTTGAATTGTGTTATGATTTTGACAGGGGGAATAAGGGGCGTTTCTTTTAGACAAATAGTAGGTGACTTTTTGACTTAATTATATCAGATAACAAATAATAATGATAATAATAATGTCTTTATGGTTTCTCTTTAATTTTTAATTCTTAATTCTTATAAAAAAATTTGAGCAACAAAATAATTGATTTATTTCTAAATGTTCATTTGGTACAGTTTATTAGTAAGGATAATTACTGTTTAGGATACTTATGATATCATAGCAATTGCCATTTATTGTTTAGTATATGATAGGCAAAGGAATTTTTGGCTACATATTTATTTGTTTAATGTTTTCATGCCTCTAAATTAAAAATTTTATAACATTGATTTTTGTAATTTTAACTTAATATTAGCTCCCCCAGACTTCTGCTAAGTACTGTTTTTCTTTTGCCATGGTAATCATGAAAAACCTGCAGGCTGCAGAGTCTAAAGGCTTTCTTGAATTGTACTTTTGTCAGAATTGTTTACAACCAAGTGTTACGTTACAGAATAGAATTAAACATTGGCAGTGACTTATTGTTCCAAAGTCAACAATGTAACCTTTGTATGGCAACTTTTGCTGGTCATAGTATGGCTGATACTTTCCAACAATTTGTTTGTATACTTGTGAATGTCAATTCATTCCCTGCAGTTACAACAATGACACATTATTCACATGAAGGAGTCATAATTAACCTTAGCTTTATGCAGAATATAAGTAAAGGAACTGTAGGTTGTAGTGCTTATGGCTGTTGAATTAACACAAGGCTACAATATGAGTAGTACAATTGTATATTTGGGTATCACATTACAAGGAAACCAAACCACTAGTTTATTAGTGATGAAGCAAACAGAATCAGACTCAGTTTTGAAAGTTCTGTATAACAAGAATGGTGTGGAACAAGAATGTTTTGGGATTATGTAGTTGATTACTTGTTAGTTTACCAGTATGATAATAATGACTTCGGGAGTTAAGACTCTTCCACGGTGTGCAGTGTAAGTAAATTATGAATATGATGTTGAATTTAAGTTAAGGTTTAGTTAAATAGGGACTTAATAGATGCTCATGGAAAACTCATTGATGCTTTGTAGTATCTAAGTATCATTTATAAAAAAAAAGGATTAAGGGTGGTGACCGGCTACTTTTGCTGCTGAAATTTTAGTGAAAGTTTCACGCCACAGAATTATGACATGAATTTTATAAGAAAAAGTGGCCCTTTGGTTTCTATTACTCTTGTGCTAATTTTTTATTTCTGATTTTTTTAAAATTTTCAGCACAATGCAAGATGACTTCTTTATCATCCATGTTCAGAATGATTACAGCAGTTTACTAGAATCAGTCTTTAAAACAGAGTTTCTGACTGCTTTGTCTAAAAAATACAAGGAGAGGACACACAAAGAGTTGAAAGTAGAGTTTAGTGATACGTGAGTATCAAATTAAAGTCATGTAGCCATTTTATGTTGATACTCTCTCTGAGTCACCAGAGTTTGTAGTTGTTCCAAAGTAGAAAATATATTTAAAGTTCACTTGAACACTAACACACTGAAATAATTCTAGATTGAATTAACTTTAATATAAAGTAATGTGGTCGTGCAGTGGCATCTGTGTGATCCACTGTCGAAGTAAAGCATGGCAGAAATATGTACATTTTATGTGTAAAGCAAAAAATATTATATTAGTCATGATTTTTTTAATTCAGAACCTGAATAAATATGTTAAACATGAAGTAACTTCAGCAACTTGAGAAGGAAATGACCACAATTTCAATACTGTTTAGAAAATGAAGATGTGTAATATTTTAGGTTAGAATTTCCTGTCAAAAAGGAAGGCTGGGGTGGTGGTGGAAAAAGGACTGTGAAGTTTGTGAAAGGAAATGGCAATGCTGCGCTGCTCAAACCCTCAGGGAAAGTTCTCACAGTATCAATTGGACAGGGACTTCCAAAGAACTCCAGTAAGAACTGATGACTATGTTTGAATTTTATTGTACCACCA